CGCACACACACACACACACACACACACACACACACACACACACGCACACACACACACACACACACACACACACGCACGCACATAACCCCCCTTCTCACACTTCAACACGCAAACCACACACCTATAATAAAATAACAAGAATAAAAATTAAAAATCAGTAGTAAAATTTAAAACCAAAAGCTAGGTTCCTTAATAAACAAACTAAAGATAAACTAATAACTTAGTACGAAAAATAAAATAACTTAAACAACTAAAATAAAATAAAATATGAATTAAAAAAACAAAATATATGCGCTATATATATAAAAACAAAATAAAAACAAAATAAACAAAATAAAATTAAAAAAAACAAAAAAAAAATAGAAAAAATAATAATAATAATAATAATAATAATAAAATAATGTTTTTTTTTAATAATTAAAAAAATACTAAATAAAATTAAAAATAATAATTACATAAAAAATAAATAATAAATAATAAATAATAAACAATAAATAATAAATAATAAATAATAAATAATAAATAAAAGACATAAAAATAAAAAATAAAAAACAAAATAAATTGCAAGGAAGATGAGTATTAGCGAACTTCATCAATCAAACAGCATCATACATATGAGCCCAGATATTCTTGACCTCGAACCACAATAGACTTGCATCATGAGATACACCAAATAAGAACASACCAAGAGTTCAAAATTGACAATGCTGAAGTAGTCCCATCATCATCAACTACGAACCAGAGTTGATATCCTATCGGCGCTCGACGCCCAGACTACATGTGGCAGATCCTATCTAGCCTATACTACGAAGCAGAATGATGACATCAACAGCGCTCCCGAAGTACGAGCATATGGCGACCAATGTCGCATGCTTCAGCGCCAGGTATGTCTCTCGTAACACTCACAACCCCGATCCACACCGCACAGATGCCACTAGCACCCCAAGGACCACCCTGCGCTTCACCTAGCATACAGCAGCGCAGCTTGGCTATGGCTGCGTGCTCCCTCCTACTCGCCCGTGAGAGCGTGAGTGCCAGCCASCCAGCGGATTGCGCAGCAGCGCTCACGCAGCATGCAGCCAGCACCCGAATGCCGAAATGAGAGGCAGGCCCTTCCCTGTATCGAAGTGGCCTGCCTGCGTCCAGTCCAGGAAGCTTCCAGTAGGCCCCTGGTAGCCTGAGGCCCAGTCACGAGGAAAGCAGGCCTTGGGCCTGAAGTGGTTGCATGCGCCCAACTGCTTTCGGCCTGTGTTCGGCCTGGTACCTGAATCCAGCCCAGGGCCTGCACTTCGTACATTCACACAGGCGGCCCAGGGCCTGGGTTCACTCAACCAACTGGCGCTGCGCAACTGCCTGAATTTTCCCCAATGCGGGGTACCCTGAAAAACGAGGCCCAAAGGGCCTGTCGTGCCTGCCTTCACTTAGGGCGGCCGACCTTGCTGCAAATAGGGCCCCGTAGGGGCTAAGCGGGCGTAGCCTCGCAAAATTAATTAAAAAAATAAAATGAATAAAAATATAATAGGAGAATTTGTTAAAAAATGGATAAAATAAAATAAAATAAAAATAAAATACAATAGAGATAAGTAAAATTAGTATTTTTTAAAAATAAAATAAATAAATATAAAATTAAATAAAACAAAAAAATTACATAAAATAAATGGAATAAAATGATAATATCTAAAAATAAGGTTAAACAAAATTAAATAAAGTAAAAATCATATATAAAAATAAAAATTATATGTTCTGCTAATTTAATAAGCTAAAAATCTAACCAACCATTATACCATTAACGAAGACCCTTCCAAATATAAGGCACAAAGATTTGCCACCAACCCCAACTTCAACCCACTAAAGGTGTAATCGACGGCTCATGAACCACGCTCTGATACTTTTACCACAGAACACTGCCACATAAATGGGTTATGGGACACGTGCTCCCTGTTAAAAATATAAAATTAAAATATGTAAAAGTAAAACGCAGATGAACGAAAAGAAATAACACACAATAAGGTTGGGTTAAAAATTTTACGAGTTACGGCCACTAACACACCATCCCCAAACGACGCAACTGACACAAGAATGCAAACACGCGCACGAGGAAGGAGAAACAAATACGAGGAAAAACGAGTACCGCCATAGCCACTACCCCTCCGTATACGACGGAAAAATGTCCCACTGCAATACACTACAGGACAACTAGCATACTATGGCCCTGTCACTCTGCAGTAGCCCGCAACGACAAGACGCAACCGTAAAATAACCACCCTTTTTTTCCTGCGAGTCAAGGCTCCTACCACCGACTTACCTTCCATCTAATCGAGTTCTCATACAGATCTGCCCCGCGCGGACACCCTCCATCTTCCCCCTCTCAGGGCTCGGCTAGGATCCTTTACCACAACTCACCTACATCCGTAAAAAGGTACCAACACAAGATACAGCATCTCGAAAAGACACTACTTGCACACAACAGAACAAACACACAGATACGACGCGGTACAATACCGCCAACAGTCAGTCCGCCACCAGATAGCTCCAAAGCAATACACTACAGGACAATCAAAAAAAAACGTTACTACCAGGCCGCCAACCTGCTACGGTCCATCTACACATACTAGCGAAAGGAGGAAGGAGAGACGAAGGAGGACGAAGGACACCATAGCCAAGGTGGGGGCAGAAGGAGAGGGAAGGGGGAAGGAGAGAGGGAGAGAGAGGTTGGCAAAGGAGAAGTGTCAACAGCCATAGTCGGAGGCCGAAGAGTTGACCGGTGGGGTTGACCAAGGTGTTGACCACGTTTGACCGGTCATTGACCAGCCTTGTCCAGAGGCCGTTGACCAAGACTTGACCAAGCTGGAGTTGGTATAATCTCACCAAGCCTTATGCCTACCCCCTCGCCCTGTGGATGTGCACTACCCGTTGGTACTTGCTGAGTCAGTTTGTCTATTCTTTCCGCATTGAGTCACTTCGGTCCAGGTGATAGGACTATGTGCATGTGGTCTGTAGAGATGTGGTAACCAAACCTGCACGGGATGAGTACGGCTGAAGTCCATGTCTAACGACTGACACGTCCCGGGGATAAGACCCCCAAGGACCGATACCGACCGGTGGGCTGCTTATTATGCCATGGTAGGCCAAAAATCCGAGTTGTAGGTTGTGCATTGAGAGGACTCTGCTGATCACGTCGTCCTGACTACGACGTTAAATAATACCTGAGGAGTTTGGGGGATCTCCTTAAAAGGCCTCCACATCACTAGTAGAGTCTTGTAGTGACGGTTGTAGTAGTAGTAGTAGTTTAGATTAAGAGTCGGTCAATCAACAATTAATTATTGGAGTGGAAGTCTTACTGATGGGGTACGACTATGCCTTCACCATATTCACTACAGTCACCTGTAAGAACTTAGGTACGAGCCGTATGAATGACGTGTGCAAGAAAGACAGAGTCAGACACATCATTCTCATCACAACAGATAGAGCGAGAGTGGTGAGGAGTGGAACTTTCACTGGTTGTACATCTTTCACCATGGTGACCTCGCGAGCAGGAACGAGCACCACCCCATATAGCAAGGAAGAGAAAATTGCTGCCATCTTAAGAGAGAAGAAGGAGAAGATGGAGAAGACGGAATTGATTAAGCATGCGAAGATGCTGGTCTTGATGGACGAGCAAAAGGCCAAGCAGAAACAAATGAAGGAGGATTTGGAAAAGTGGAAAAAGGAGCAGGAGGAGAAGTTGGCGGTTGTGGAAGCAGAAGCAGAAGCAGAGAAAGAGGAAGAAGAAGAAGAGGTGGAGCCCCTACAGCGAAATGTAGGAAGAGAAAAAAGAGAGGAGTCCAGTGGAGCGTGAGAAGTAGAGGCAAATATAGAGAAGATGGCGAATGAGTGGGTGGCCAATATGGCCCTAGGGGGGGAAGAAGAAGCATCTTCACTTGTCCCTCAGGCAGAGAGCGAGGCGTTCGCAAAGGAGTTGGAAGCAAAAGGAAATCCCTTGCGGCGACAGACCATGGAGGAGGAAAGGAAGTTAGAGCGGAGGTTGCGCTTCACAAGGGAAAGGAGGAGGCGATTGGAGGCGGCAGAGGCGACGGAGAGAGACTTATAGGTCGCAGAAGAGCAACAGGGGCAATTGGCACTACAAGTAGACCTCCAAATGAAAGTAGAGATTCTGTCTCGAAACATGGAGGTGGTCTTGAAGCCCAACAGGAGCAGTTGCGCTACCTAAGAGGCCATGATATTGCCTTGCAGTCCATACGCGTAGGATTTAAAGATTTTGTTAAGGATCTGATGATGCATATAGGCACTGAATTGTGCGTTGCCACAGAAGGCACAGAGACATTCTGCGCAGGCGCCATAGAAGGTGCCCCCAAAGAAGAGGAGGCACGGCCCAGTCACGAGCGTATTGAGGCCAAATTCCCTGAACCCTATGGAGGGAAGAACGGAGGAAGCTTGTATCAAATCCTATATACACCTACAGATTATCTCGCCAGAGAACCATGTTCTCGTGGCATTCCAGGCATTGAAGGATGAGGCAACCAACTTTGCTCAGTCGCTTGCTCGCATTGCTAAATGTGACAATGATATGGTCACATACTCTTCTATTACTAATTTGAGTGAGTTTTTAGCCGCTCTCCGTGACTGGTTTGCAGATGTCACTAGGGGCCTTAGGGCCTCTGACAAACTGGAAACAATCCACTCGCGACAGTGGAAGAGTCCAAGAGCACTCAAGGCCACCATGGATGAGGTAGTAGTTGTCCCCGGACATGGGGTCACCGAGCCCCAACTCGTCCAACTGTTTTATCGCGCCATGCCCGAGGCTCTGCACGGGCCTTTCTTTGACAAAAAGCAACAGCCCAACATGACATATGATGCGATTAGTAAGGAGGTTGTTGGTTTCGAGGCCCAGTCCATGCCATTGACCACTTTCTGACACAAGGAACTTGACAAAGGTAAAAAGTGGAAAGGCCGGACCATCACCAGTCAAGTCAAGGCTAAAGATAACCTTATTCTTACGCTAGATGAGGGTGGTCTGGAGGAGGTTCCCTATAGTGAGATTGAGTGGGGCCTTGATGAGGAGGACAATGGTGAGGGTCAGGGAAGGACCTACACTACTGTCGCCGCTAGAGGGAAACCGCACGAAAGAGGAAGAGGTCGGGGCCAAGGAGGCCAAGCCTCTGGTGGTCGAGGACAGGGCGGCCAGGCGGTTGGCGCATACAAAACTGCCAAGAGGGAGGAAGGGGTCAAGGTCCCCTGTCAAACTGTCCTCGTGCCAATCGGTGAGGGGTGAATGGCACCCTGGTTTGCCTGAGGGCAGACCCTGGGACTCGTTGGGCCTGGACCAAACTATGTGGCAAATGAGAATAGATGCAGGTCAATGCATTTATTGGAGTGACCCTGGGCACATTATCAAATATTGCCCAGAATATAAGGTTGTCCGGCGAGCTGCAGCAGAGTCAGCAAAAGGCAATTGCCGGTAGGGGTAGCAACTGCCCTTACCCCTAGGCCATGTGGAGATGAGTGTGCGCGCCAAGTAGAAACTCCCAACCCGCATGTCCCTATGGTAGAGGTTGCTGGCCAGTGCCTAGTTAGCTGTCTAGAGACTGCTTGTCTCCGAGTCTCTCACTGCTTGTCTCCGAGTCTCTCTAGGCGCTTCCCTCACATGATTGGCAGAAGAGTCGAAGGAGAGGATGCCAACCTGGGCCAAGATGAAGAAAGAGGCAAAAGGGTAGCTAGTGTTAGTGGATGTAGAAATTTTTAGAGGCAGAGTAGGGACCCTTATAGACAGTGGAGCAACCCGTAGCTATGTTAGCCGTAGAGCGCTGAAGAAGTTGAAGCTTAATTTAGAAGTCCAAAAGTTAGATAAGCCCATACTCAATATCCTCGCAGACAATCGCACGCTGCGAATAGAGGATTACGTTGAGGGAGTCCAGACGTACTTTTTCCTAGAGAAAGATGGGAAAGTTGAGAGAGTCCTCCATTCCCTGACTCTCCTCGTTGAGGACAACCTCCCGTTTGACATGGTCCTAGGAATGGACTGGGGAAAGGCAGCAAGATCCACATTGCATTTAGGAGAGCATGACTGTAGGCTTCGTAGTCCTTCGAGTGGTGTCAAGACGGCCCGCTTGTTCCATGTGTTAGGAGTAGACAACTCTCTAACACATTGTTGTCTCAGTGCTCTCGCGTTTGCATGCTTAGTGAGAAAGGAGCAATTAGAAGAGCAGGTCTTTGTGACCTATGTTAGGCTAGTCACTGAGCCTAAGAAAGAGGAACCAACTAACCCCACTATGTTGTTGGAAGAGTACGCAAATCTTTTAGATACTCCTTCAGGAGCAGTTCCACGTACTATCCAACATCGTATTGAGATAGAATTGGTAGTAAGAATCCCAAAGGAGCAGTTTATAAGATGTCTCCCATGGAGTTGGAGGAGTTGTGCAAGCAGTTAGACGACCTCCTAGAGAAGGGTTGGATTAGGCCCAGTTTGTCTCCATTTGGAGCACCCGTTCTCTTTGTCCCAAAGAAAGAGGGAGAGATTAGAATGTGCACTGACTATAGGGGTCTCAACGTCGTTACAATAAAGAATGCAGAACCACTGCCCCGTATAGATGATCTGTTGGATCGGGTGCAGGGCTGCAAGTACTTCTCAAAGATAGATTTGAAATCACGGTAAAACGGTGTTTAGGACTAGATACGGGCACTATGAGTTTATAGTGATGCCCTTGGACTAACCAACGCATCGACCACATTCCAGTGTTGTATGAATGGTTTGTTTAGGTCGTGGTTAGATAGATTCGTAGTTGTTTATCTAGATGATATTCTAGTTCTTAGCAAGACCCTCTAGGAGCAGGAGGCTCATCCGAGGAAGATCTTGGGAAAGTTGTGCGAAACAAACTTCAAGATTAATGCAAAGAAGTGCGGGTGGGCCAGATGGTAAAGGCATAGAGCCTGAGGACAGTAAAATCGCAGCGATTAGAGACTGGCCAACTCCACTCACAGAGTTGAGGTTGTTCTTAGGATTGACTAACTATTACAGGAAGTTCTTAAGAAACTTCTCTGCAATTGTTGCTCCCCTTCACAGACTGCTAAAGAAAGAGGCAATATGGAAGTGAGACCAAGACTGCACATCGGCCCTGAAGAAGTTGAAACGGCCTTGATAGAGTATGCAGTCCTCAAGGTAGCTGATCCATCCTTACCTTTTGTCGTTACAACGTTATCTGCCCGAGATCAGCAAACTCAAATTCTTCCCGCCACGTTAGTTCCCATGATCCTTCAAAACTGGCACATCTCCACACATACCTAGTCTTCCACACGTCAAAGTTGTTGCCTTGTGTCACCAACCAGCAATTTCTGTCACGTCGATTAATGATTCCGCCGGATATGGAAGGCACATATGACATAGATCGCATGCTGGAAGAGGATGTGTTCAAAATTGGAGGTAGGGGTCGTCCATAGAAGCAGTACAAGGTCAGGTTCGCCTATCAGGAACCCAAGGACAACCGCTGGTTTACAAGAACCGAGCTTTTAGAGACCGCTCCCGACATAATGCACGCCTACAACAGAGAAAGGAAAGGTAAAGGTCCTGCCTTGCGTTGAAATATTCTCGAAGGACCTCGAATTTAGGCAAGCGGGAGTGAAACGGTACTCACATTTACGGTAGCAGATGCAGTACCCAAGGCTTGATCCCTAGACCTCACCTCTACCCATGTACAGTACCAGTTGACCCGAGTTTGTTTGAACCTGCGACCTGTGTTCTGAAAGTCGTGTGTTTGGCCGTTGTAGATGGTGTCGTCGTCGAGTCTTGAGCTGTACATCTGTTGTTTAGGAGAAGGGTCAAGGCCGTAGCTGCTACAGTACCAGAGGGTCAAGTCTACGACCTTCCGGAACTTCCGGAAGTGACCTTTCGTGAGTCTTAGAGTCCGTCCTCGTCTGAGTCAGCAAAGGCCAGTCCTAGCACAGTCAGCAAAGGGCAGTCCTAAGTCCTACCTGTCCTAGTCAGTAGTACCCAGTTCCAGTCGCACTTTGTCAAGTCAGCAAGTACCATGTGGGACTGTGTGCAACCCGGGCCCAGTGGAGAGGAGCAGACCAACGATGATCCAAAGTATAAATAAAGAGGTAGCGTTCACTCATGGATTCATTCTGGCTGTTAGCCGTGCAGAAGCGCTGTCGGAGCATCTTGTGTACGAAGGTCTGCAGGTGCCTGAAGAGGAAGTGCGCTAAGAGGAGGAAGATGCGGCCATAAACGCTTGTGTTAGTGAGAGGAAGGAGATGGCAGCCATAGTTGCTCGTAGCTTAGTAGTAGAGTGATAGACAGTGTGTGTGAGGGTGTTGTCTATATGTGTGCGGGACATCCAGAAAGATCCAGTGTGTGTGTGCAAACAAGTTGCTGGGAGTACAGTGTTCGGCCGTAGCCGATTGATACAAGTCTGAGTTTGAACTGTGTTCTTGGCCTCACTATCCCTGGGCTTGGTGTGGGCGAGAGGCGCCAGTTTGATCATCATCTGTTTGTACACATGCTGATCGTCGAAGAGGACAAGTTCAATTGCAGACCGGTACCGGTCGGCCACGATATGTCTTTTACAAACATTTTGTCGGTTTGGTACCTTCCGTACTTGCCCGGGACATGCTGAAAAATTGGACTTGGGACAGTTTGGACTGGACTTCTCTGGACTTCTCTTGTCAGGTACTGGACAGACTTCTACTGACATGCGACTTTTTGGTACCAACACCTACCGACCTACGACGCCGCAGCTCACAGACATTCAGCCTATCCTACCGAGACGGCCTGGGAATGGGACACTTCGGGACTCTCGGAGTAGGACTGGGGTGTCAGCAGCATGAATCCTTTCACTTGGTGACTCAGACCTGCAATTAACCTCCCCCTCTAACACGTCGGATACTTGGAAAGAAGGCAGCTGTTCTTTTGCCCATACCGGCTCTCTCTCTCTCTCTCTCTCTCTCTCTCTCTCTCTCTCTCTCTCTCTCTCTCTC